AAATCCCCGTACACATATACGACGATTTTTTTCCAGGGAGGGGGGGCTGTTATTTCGGGTGCCTTTTAATACGGTAGGACCTTCTATTGTGGGAGAACGGTTTATAAAACTAAGACTAAACAGGAAATTAGACGTCTAATTTTCTAAAAAAAAAACTCATATTTTGCCGTATTTTTATCGAAAAAGATCAAAAAAATCAATAAAAATTAGAAAAAATCTGTACCGGGCTGGTAGAAAAATATCTGTTTCGACTGGCAGGTATACCGGCCGATCGCCGGTACCGCTTTTAACTCTGAAGTAAGCAGCAGATTCGAGTATTTCTACCAGAGATTCGCTCAGCAATTGGCTCTAATGGTACTTGGCAGGTTCCAAGTAGAACTCGGCGAGCTTTATTTAATAGTGCAACCGCATTCTTAATAGCTCCAGCTGAACTCAAAAGGATCTCAAGATACTGCGTTTTTTAGGTGAAATTTTCCCAGCCGATTCGAGTATTTCCGCCAGCGATTCGCTTAGGAACCTGTTCCAGTGGTTCCAACGCATGTTCCAAGCATAACTGAATAAGCTCTATCGAATGGGTGTGGGTGTGGATGAGGGTGTGGGTGGGCGATACTCTTCTCTTTACCGACACCCATCACACCCACACTCACACCCACTCACACCCACACCCTCAAGATGGCTCTTTTTTCTCTTTCCTTCGTAATCTTCGATATAATGCTGTAATTTGAAGATCATACAGAGAGAACAGCGGTAACACTACTCCTCCAGCTTGTTATTGTATTCACAATAAAATGAATACTGAAGCGGTAACGAAAAAACTTTATCTTTTTTTCTTCATACGGTAGAGAAAGTGTGCTCGGGTAAGAGAAAGTAATCCTCGTTTTTTTTCTTATCTGTGTATTCGATATATTATTTCAACATATACAAAACAAAAAGAATTACGTGTTTATTCACTTTGATAGTGATTTGCACTGTTTACATCATATTTTCGTTGTATTACAGATAGTGTAAGAATATCAATGGCGAATAAGTTGAATGAAAGTGATTATGATCAGAACTCGTTGGCAGAAAAATTTATTGCATTTCAAGGTTTAAATTTCAATGATTCTGTAGACAAACATAATGTAATGGTAAATTTTGATACTGATTATATCCTTTTTCTTATTAAACGTGGATTATCATATGTTAAACTTAATTTTCCAGTTGAATGTGCATTAGATGTTGGTTGCGGAGCAGGAAATATTTGTCGATTTTTAATTGAAGAAAAACTTGCCGAATATGTCGTTGGGGTGGATAACTCTCATGATATGCTCAAATATGCTAAAGCAGGTTCCAATGATGACACAGTACACTATAACTATGTGAATGTTAATGTTGCTACTGACGATTTAATAACTGTTGTTGGTAAAAAAGTTCCACTGATAGTGCAAACATATATGCTAATTCATGCAGAAACGAGCGATCAATTGTTATATATTCTTTCCAATATTGCTAAAGTTAGTTGTGGACTTTTCGTTGGTATAATTCCAAATCCTAATCTAGATCTTACAAGTGATGCTGCCAAAAAGTTAATCAAATACGGTACGAAATTTACTCTACTGGAAGAAGAAAATTCTGTTAAAGATGGAATGGCCTATCAAGTTACATACGAACACGGTACACCAGGAGAAATTACGCTCGTTGATCATTGGTACAGCGCAGCAACCTATGAGAGATTGTTCGAGCAAGCTGGATTTAAGTTTCTGGAATGGGTTCCTGTTGAAGCTATTGGAAACAAAGATAATGCTAGTTTAGCTGATTTAACAGAGACCGCATCAGTTATTGGATTCATTGTTAGAAAGATGTAAAAGAAAATTGGCAACAAGACATACTCGTACTTTTATCTTGTCTACGTTCCTGCAAACTACTGGGTAGCTCCTAATTACATTTAGCTTGAAAACTAAGAGTGTGGTTGTGATAGAGTTACCACAATGCGTTTCAATAGTTACTCAAGCTATCGTTTCATCAGGTAGTTCATAAGGGTGTGGGTGTGAATGTAGGTGTGGGTGTGGATGTGGGTGTGGGTGTGGGTGTGGATGTGGGTGTGGGTGTGGGTGTGGATGTGGGTGTGGGTGTGGGTGTGGGTGTGGGTGGGTGTCAGGGGTGGGTATATATGTGTAGGGTACAGCGGTTCCAAAAAAATAGAACCGAAAACCGAACCGGAACCGACCTTCTGGAACCGAAACCGAACCGGAACCGATTTTTTCAGAATAGGAACCGAACCGGAACGGCTCTTTTCTCATTTCTGCTGACCGGAACCGGACCGGAACCGCGGTTCCGCTTCTTTTTTGGGACCGTCGTACTCTAATCTTGAACATATTTTTTTTTGTACAGTTTGTTGCTTGTTTTACTCTCGTCCGTTTTGAAGAAAATGCATTTTCAATAAACATTATGTGTCTTTGATGACAATCATTAAATAATTCAAATCAAAAAAAACCTCGTATCTATCTTATACTTTAACGGAGCCGTTTCCGGTTCTATATTATATCCTAGGAACCGAACCGGAACCGCGGTTCCGGTTCTTTTTTGGAACCGCCGTACTCTATATATGTGGATCTATTTGTAGAGTTTGAGATTTGGGTGTGGGTGTGAGTACTTTACCGTTCTACATTCTCATCCACACTTCCACCCACACCCACTTTTTCAAAAACTCAATCTGTTTTAATTCTCACATTCACGCAGCTCCTTATCGGCATCCTCAACCCCTCTGATCAAATAGGCCTCAGATGCGAGTTTCCCGCATTGAAATACATCTAGAACTGTCTTTTTCGAGAAATTAATTATCGATGTTTTTTTTGACTTTGGCACAGACAGACAAACGCATTTTCATTTTTTTCGTATCACCCTCCTTTCAATCGAGGGAATAAACCCTCGAAGGCTTCGGACCTTCCTACGAAACTCTTTTTTGCTCAACGGAACTCAAAAAAAGGGTCTGTCGAACAGGGTTCGGCCCGCGGATAGAATTCAGAACCATTGAGAGTTCTGTCGATTTTGATGTTTGTATTTTTACGACCTTTTGACCCAAATGGAAGCTTTTGGTCTTCTACAAAGCCTTTAGTGTGGGTTCAGGAAAGCTCCTTTATTTTTTCTGAGTACCCCAGCGAAAATTTGACGAAAAATAAAATATTCGAATACGAGCGGAAAATGCTTTTCTAACTCAGTTTTGGGTGTGGGTGGGTGGGTGGGCGTGGGTTTTAGTGAGTGTATATGTCGATGTTGGTGTATTATATTACAAACATTCCGACACCCGCACACACACCTACGCCCACACCCACACCCAACCACCCTCAAGATAGATGATCACTAGTGGATTATAATAATAGATATATGACGAACCAATATCACTCTATAGTGTGTTAAAAGCAAGAGAGCACATCATCGTGAAAACAAAATCAATATACAAAAATCCAAATTTGAACTCTGACTTTTAGTTCATCGGACTATAAAGCGTGTCCCAGAAATTCTGACGCTTTTTAAAAATGCATCGTTCTCGCTTATAGTAAAAGCAAACTCTTTGAAACTTTGGATAATGATTGCACATGCTTAGTACTAAATAGCAACAGAGTTTCAGACCTATGGCTTCTACCATTAATAAGAATCAGTAAAAACACTATCATGTACTATGTGTGCCAACAGAAGTGACGCACGTCCTTTTGAATGACACCCACACCCTCTTTTTTTATCTCTCTCCCTCGCTTTCCTTTTTTATCTAGTTATTTCTATCGTTTCATGTTCTTCCCTTTCTCTCTCTAGTATATATACTCGTGTTGTATGTTAAGTATTTATATTTGGATG